TATGTTCCGAAGGTTAGTACAAGATGTAACGCTGATGAGATGCTCTCCGCATGTATCGTTAAATCCACAAATTTCATATTCTACACAAATTGTCCTGAAATACGAGATTCACGATTTCCAAAGCTTAATGAGTTTAGTTCGATCACGTTATTCTTCCGACAACTTTTGTTAATGGGGTACAACGTGACGCTGCAAGTAACGTTAAGCGCGCTATACTTAATCCTTCCACAGTCTTAGACGAGGTATTTACTAAAACGGTCTTTTTCTGTTCGATTTTACCAACGAGGTGGCTCGTAATCTGCTTTTATTTAAATATTCAGCGGGTATTTAACATCGTATTTTAAATTATACGAATCGTACGCGAATCATATTCTCTTCTTGTAATAAAACGTTGCGGTATTACGCAAAGCTTCCTTTGCATAAATTATATTGCTTAGGGTCAAGCCAAAGCTCGAAATGATGAAGCATTGTCTTTGTAATCATAAAAGTGACATTTTCACTTATAGCTACAGATAAAGAAAAACTTTGGTCAGTGGACCATATAATTATTTGCACATTCAGTATTTTTCAAGTAATAGTGTGTAAGAATATAGCGTATTGATAGAATCCAAATCTTTCAATACTTCGGTACACGTAAATCAATCCATGCTCGTTCAAAATCGTTAATGGCAGTAACGACAATTTACTATGCAAAAATAACACGATTAATTCAAAAGTTTTGTGATTAAAAGAGGTTATGTCAAGGTTTTGAAGATTGATAATTGATATAGTTGCTGAACATTCGGAAGAGATATGTTATATGAAAAGTAACAAAGAATCAATTTGTAAATGCTGAATCATTATTATGACACATTACAATTAATTAATTCTTCTTCCGTCCATTTCAGCACACATACCGACAAAGAATGATTTATTTCTCACGATTTCAGAACACCTCCTTCAAACAACAGACACATTATCGTTACGAATACAATTGTTGTTGCTTTCCTTATCACGTGTTCCACCACATCGATCATCAATATGAAAATATTATTCCAACCACCGGATTTCGTTTTACCGTCATCATTTTTGCACGAACAATTCACGTTTCCAAACGAAATGCATGTTCTCCCTACCTGCAATGAAATATCGAAAGGACCAGATTGCATCGATGCACCGTTCTACAGTGAAAATTCGTTCAAAAAGAAAGAAAGAAAAAATTCGTTCGCGCGTGTACTCGTTGGATCCACTGCATTCCATTCAGCAAAGTGCTAGGCAAAGAAGGAAAGGTTGCGCTCCGTTCGAAAATGGAATGGAATAAACTCTGTTGATACCTCGTCCAGGAATGCGAAAGGGTTAAGGGCGCTTCGCAGCAGTTTCTTAGCGATAAGCGTCCGCCTAACTATAGTCTAGAGAACACGTTAACGAAACTGTTACTGAAGCGTTCCAAAGCAGAAGCCAGCTCGTAAGCGAATGGAAAATGAAAAACAATGAGACAGAGACAAAGAGAGAGAGAGAGAGAGAGAGAGAGAGAGAGAGAGAGAGAACGAATGAAAGAGAGAAAGAAAGTGAGTGAATAAGTAAGAAAGAAAAGGAAAAACAACGCAGTCTGTGTACGACCAATGACGGAAGGCGAAAAAGGCTCGTACGAGGACGCGTTCCGGCCCAACAAATTGCATTGTGCTCTGTTTTGCGCCTCGACGAGTGGCTAGTCCGTGTGTACGCGTGCCCATATCTCTCGTGACACAGCGTGGATTTTTATGTGCGCACGATTACACAAGCTCACCCACGCACGCATTCGCGCCACCATCCGCGCAAATACACGCACGCACGCACGCACATTCACGCACAGATAAAAAGATAATACTTTAATGTGTACGGCGTAATAGTGATTCATAGCGACCAGAAGCGTACTGCACACACTGACAATGATACAGCTCATATAGGTGTCGGTATTTATACCTATAATTATAAGAAGTATATATATAAGTTGTATATATATATAAGTTGCATATATATTATATATATATCTACAAACAATGTATTTAGATATGATATCTTGACTGTAGTCGCAACGTCGCACGAGCTATAGTACTCTCTGTTTTTAATGCGATCGTCGTCGGCTGGCCAGAGGGATGCAAGGATATGCGGGTCACGGTTTTCTCTTTGTTCGTCGAAATTGTTCTCACGGTCTCTCTTCCGCCCCTGTCCGCATCTTTTTGATCTTTGCCGTTCGTTTACCGGAGACGTCGTTCGTTTTGACAAATCGCGCGACGTCCAGAATCTACGTGGGAAAGCGGCAGCACGGGGCAAAAGGATGAAGAGATAGCTGCTAGCTAGCCCGCAGCGTCTCGCGAGATTCCTCGCCGATGCGTGCTCGCTGTCTCGTAGGGAAAGATGAAACGGGTGTGGCAAATTCATGGGAAAATTGGCTTCATCGCACCACGGCCGAGACAAGTTTCTGCGCGAGCGATCGCTGCTGATGTTTCGACTTGTCCGGCATCGGAATGGCGACGGGACAGGGTGGAGGGAAGAGGGAAGAGGGGAGAGAGAGAAAGAGAGAGAGAGAGAGATAAAGAGAGAGAGAGAAAGAGAGAGAGAGAGAGAGAGAAAGGAAGGACATATCGTGGAGGCTCGCCAACGGATATAAAAATCGCGAGTCACGTCCCAGGTGACAGTGTCGACTTGATTTGGTTTCCGCACAGGGCTCAACACCTGGGGTCCAGTCTCGTACATTCAGCTCCAAACTCGCTCTCTGGAACCCGATCGAACGCCGAGCTCCTTTTTCCACGGTTTCCAAGAGGAATCCCGTATACGCTTTCGCCCGAAACAATTCTTTCCTTCTTTGCTACCTCGACTCGCGCAGTTACGAATTTCGACGATCGCCGTAGCGACGTGTACGCGACCCGAAGGAGCGTCGGTCCAGGCTCATGGTAATTTCGGTTCGACAGAGATCGGTCCAACGTCGGTTTGAAACTGATTGCAGGACACCGGAACAGATACCTTTGAACACTACAGGAGTATACGCAATACACAATACGCCATATATAATTACGCTATATACGTATCTTAAATATTCAGAAAAAAAAACATATACAATATATATATGTATATACGTACATACGTATGCGATGTATCGGGTATACGAGAAATATATATGTAGGTATATAATATATGTGTATACACACATATGTATATATGTATACCTGTATATACGCGAGGCTGTGTACACGCTTATATACGTATACCACTATAGAAGTTACGGAGGATACGTGTACGTCTACGCGTATATATGCGTGCCTCCAGCGTATGTGCGGCCTGCGGTGCTCGAATCGCGATTGCCACCGCCACGCTAACTCGGCCACGCACGGTTCCCGTAGAAATTTTCATGTCGGTGTTTTGCAAACGGGAGGCATCGTCGCACGTAATTTCTGGCGATAGAGGCGGCAAGAGGCGGCGTCGGCGGCTTGTTCTCCTCTCTCCGTTCGATATCGTAGCACGTCCCTGCCATCGAGAGAGCCGAGTACGTTTGAAACACACGCTCGGCTCACTTTTATTCCTCGGCTCGTAAATCCCTTCTACGCGATAAAACGAATCGCCGGAAAACGATATTGCGGGTGGGACAACCGTAAAAAGCGTTAGAGCGGATTGCCGCACGGTCGAACGCATTTTTCGGTGGCCGGGTTCGGCACCTCCCGTCGCTTTTTGCGGTACGTTTTCGTTTATCGCACCCCGCGTACCACCGCCGCCGCCGTCGCCGTCGCCCGTCATCCCCCCGCGCCCGCGTCGCGTCACCTTTTCCTGTTCCGTTGACCTCGTCGTCGACGATTCGAGCATCGCGGGTAGGGCCATGCAACAAGAACATCGCAAATCGAATTAAACGAGTCAACCATAAACCATAAACGAAGTGGACAAGAATATATCTTGCGAAGACTGTGGAACGTAGCAAGGTTCCCTTGTAACAGTTCAGCCAACCAAACAGCTGTGACGAGCTATAAAAACGTAGGTTAGTAGGCCATCCGTGTAGTGTACGTAGTGTGGTATATGCTGGTATACGTGGCATCTGTACTCTCGTGTACACGGAGACGCGCACATGTAGATGCAAATTGTCATGTATGGGGGTGACTCGGTCCGTCTTGCGCGCGAGCGTTCGCCCGTGTACCGTGTGGACGTGTGTGTGCGTGTATACGCCCAATATGCCCCTTGTTGCCACATAAATATCGCGGGCCGCGCGTTGCCCGTGGGTCCCTCGGCTCTCGCGTTTTCTTTTTTTCGCGTTCGCCCGCCGAGGATTTCCTCGAGACTTCCAATCGGTGAAGGAAATGCTTCAATTTGGACCATTTCGCGGCACGCAAACGAACCGGCGGCGACTCGAATCGTCCGAATACCACCACCGCGACGTAGTTACCGGTCCCGGATCAGCGAATTCCATCGGATTCGCTCGAAGAACGAAATGGTAACTACATGAATATTCAGCCGAATATTTATTAGAGTTACGTGCTCCCGCGAGCGGGCGCGCGCGCACGCGCTTCATCGACGCGACCGGCTCCCTCGGTTTCCGCGCCCTTCGATCGAATGTTGTTCTTTCGAATTTTCCGCGGCTCATGAATATTCACGAAAGGGACCGCACACGTGCACGCACGTCGGATAATCGTGAAACAAACAATCGGAAACAAGCGGCATAGTGGGAGGATGAATCGGCGCGATCGGGATGCTGATTCTCTTGCTCGGATGTCGCGGCTGACACGATTGATCCGTGATGATCCGCGAGAGACGGCATGGAAAATGAGAATGAGTGATAGTTAGAAAGAGAAAGTAAGAGCGAGAGAGCGAGAGAGAGAAAGAGAGAGAATGAAAAGTAAGATTGCAATTTGCAGTGATTCCTCTCGTGAAAACGGTGTGAAAGATGGGGTTCTCGGGGTTGACCGTCGATACGAACGATTCGTTGGGAAGAAAAGAAATGATCGAGAACGGCTGTCGAGATTGTGAGTTCTGTATGAGTTTGAGAATGCAAACTGTACCATCAACACTTCGGACACGGAGCTGATGCTGAGGACATACATGGTGACGCCGACCTCCACTGGTGGACCTGCAATCAACAAAACCATCCGGCCTTGGTCGCTCTGATTACCCGCTAGTTTCTATGTTTCCGTACATGTGACAGGTAGATTTGTACGTAGACAAGAACCTTAAACAGTTCGTGGCTCACCCCTGACTCACGGACAGAAGTAGTAGGGCTTTCATCGAGTTCTAAAGAGAATGAATACGGGCCCCTATTGCAGAATTGTAGGCATTCGACGCGACAAAGCGTACTCGATCGAACCATTCAACCGGTGGAAACCTTTGCTGGAAATTTGGAAACATTACGTTCGGCTATATTGTCAAAGAAAGCACGAAAGTCAGGGGTAAAATGCAAGCGTACAAGTCGAAGAGAGCTCGCACCCTGCACGGAACCAAATCAACAGCACTCGTCGGCCACGTTGCTTTCCGAGCTAGAAGAATTATTCATACTTGACTCGTTATATATATATAATCCTTAACTATTATATACATCCATATATATGTATGTATATACTGCATTATATGTGCCTGTGGGCATATATGATAAATATGCACATATATGTATATATTATACCATATGTATATATATGTATGTATATATTATATTATATGCACATGTATACATACAGTATATTATATCTACATACAGGCATATATTATATTAATATGTACACATATGTATATGTACATACACTGTGTACCACAACTCTCATTACATCTGGAAAGGAGTGATCCTGAGGTAATTCGATGTAACTTTTTCCTTAGCGAAAATGTTAATTGCGATTTCGTGAACGAGTTTATTAACGAAAGTTACGAACCAACCAGAAATCGTCTCTATGATTGATCCGCGGTTTCCGTTAATAACTCGTGAACGAAGTCGTAGCCACGACTTTTGCTCAGAAAAATGTTATTACAAATCACATCAGGAATCACCTCTTTCCAAGTGCAATGAGAATTCTCGGACACTCTGTATTATATATATATATACAGGGTGTCCCAAGAATGTCTCGCAATCCGAAAGTAGGGGATTCCTGTGGTCATTTGAAGCAACTTGTTCCTCAGCGAAAATGCAATTCGCGGCTTCGTTTACGAGTTATTAACGAAAAACAGTGACCAATCAGAGGCGAGATCATTTGGCGCGAGACGGCCGAGCCAATGGGCGGAACTGGGCTCCGTGCACTCGTTGGCTGGGCCACCGCGCGCCAGCCTAGCTCGCCTCTTATTGGTCAGTATTTTTCGTTAATAACTCGTAAACGAAGCCTCGGAGAAAATTTTCGCAAAGGAAAAAGTTGCTTCAAATGACCGCAGGAACCTCCCATTTCCGGAGTGCAAGACATTTTCAGGATACCCTGTATATATATATGCATATATTATTATTATGTATACGCACATATATGCATATGTATATGCATATATATGTATGTATATATATGTGCACCCATCAGAGTCACGTAACAAGGTGACTTTTTACCTTATTCAACTATCGTCATTTCTTTCGTTTGCGTTCGTACCACTCATTTCTTGGTCGTTTCTCGTTACAGATTTCCCTTTTGTAACGATTCCCGGTCTCTCGTTCCGACGGCCATCGTTACTAGCCGAGCATCGTGTTTATTCTAATTGGCATTACGCTAGCCACACCCGTGTGTCTACGTGGGTATACGTCACGGGACGTTCAGAGACCCGTGTACCGTTTGACATTTCACGTTCCCCTTGTCTGATCCCTCTCGTTTACTGTTACCTGTTCCACTCCCCTGATCGGCCTGCCGGTTCTCGTTTGTTCTCTCGTTTCGTAAACGTGATCGTAAATCGTAATCGTAATCGTAATCGTAATCGTAATCGTAATCGCTAAATCTCAGATCTAAACTCGTGAAACGGTAGAACTAGTTCAGAGAAACACATCGCTAAATTGCTGTCATTGTCACTGCGATCGTCGATTCCGGGCGAATCTCATTGCTCGCGGATCGGATTTTCCAAACAATTCAATTCACCGACCGAAAAAGCTATCGGACGGATCTGTTTTGTCTTTCGCTTCGATTTTTCTTTTCTCTACTACATTCTCTTTTCGTGTTTCCAAGTACGTTGTCATTGCGACACGTGGAACCGGGGTCTTTCTCGAGTTCGGAAAAGAAAAGAACGAACGTGTGATACGTGCGGTGTCAGACACAGGGGGTTCGGGGGGCTTGGAGCTGAGGTGGTTCGTGGAGGTGAGAAGGTATCGGTGATCGTGAAGGTATTGTGGCGGCGGTGGTGTGGGTGGGGTCTCGGGGGTGGGGGGGGGGGTCGACAGGGGGCTTTTCGGGCGGAATAAAATATAGAATAATAATAATTGTAAGTGGTGGCAGGCGGGCAGCCCATCTCAGCAACCGCGGCATAGCAGCTAGCGTCTAAAAATGGTCTAACGGGACGGTCGTGCGTATGTTAATATCCAAAATTGAACAAGATACTATATTGTTCTACTACAGAGGAAACAAAAGTGTTCGTTCGATTCGTCGTTCCGGACAATAGAGCAAACCACGCTTCAGACAGCATAGGCTAATAAAAGTAACAAGCAGGAGACAGTGAAATATATATATGTAATAATATAGCGAAATGTAAAATATATATATATGCTTAATTATAGTATGAGATATATTATACGTAACGTGTACATATATATATATTTGTCTACACTCGGAAAAATGTAAGATCGAGAATGATTGGTGGCCGTTCAGAGAATAGTATCGTCAACGTGACGTATATAGAGATTCTATTAGAAATTGAGTGAGATATATAGATAGAACGTGTGCCTTTCTAGTAACTATAGAATGCGTGTACAGATACAAACCATCTGCCTACTATGTACTATACACGGACCAGACGACTGTAGCGATAATCTACGGAAATTTTTTTTATCGTTTCTCATCTCTTCTGCTTCTTCTTTTTCGGTATATTATTTTTTTTTTCTGAGTGTAGCCTACGAGTTTTTTTGTGAGCACTTTTATCGTTTCACACACGCGAAATAGTACTTTGTCCATTTTTGGTTTAGTGTTGTTCCGATGGAGTATCGCGTTGCGGTTTCCGTGTGTCGTGTGCCAGTGTCGTTCCCTGTTCCATGCACGCGCATCATTATTCTAACATTAATACGAGCCTCCAACATCAACGTCAATAGCACGGCGACCAGGCGAATTATGAAGGAACGTGTCGAGTTGATCGAAGCCCTTAACCCGCGACGAATAATCTCGCTGCTGAAATACATTTCTGGCGCCGTCGAGGTTTAAACTTTACTTTACGGGTCCACAGACTTTTTGCTCCTTTATCTGTATTCCTGTAGATTTTGTCCAGAAAATTCCAAAAATTCAAGTCCCAAGGTGCGCAAACCGTTGGTTCAGATGTTACACGTGCTAAAAGCCTTCTTATACGCGCTCTAACTTCTTACGAGGAATTTATTTAATATTTTCGCTATCATCCAGCGTCGCCACTGATGGAATTACGTATGTAAGAACGCGGCATCGAGCTAACATGTCAAAAACGCTTGAAATTCGTCAACTTTGAACGCGTGCAACATTTGAATCAATGAGACTTGCACATCTTGGGACTTGAAGTCTTTGCGTTTTCTCAACAAAATCAACAAAATAAAAAGCCAAGAATCTCTGAACCCTTAAAGTAAAGATTGGTCGCCATCAACGCTTTCTTCAGAAATGCAACGCAATTTATCGTTCTTATTTCGCAACCGAGCGTAGAAGAATTCGCAGATTCACAGGTATTGGAATATTTGGTCGCATCTTTGTGAGAAATTGTTTACAAGATACTCGAAACAATTTTAATACATACAAACGTAAGCTCTCAAATCGACGAAAGTTTATTCCGATGCCGTTCGATTAAATTGTTTAATGTGCTGTGATCATGCACCACTGGCGATGTTCACAGCACGGTTATGTTTATCAATTATTTAGTTAAAATAACGAAAATAAAATGTCGAACAATAGCGTAAGTTTTCATATCTTTCACTATATTTTCAGTCGTTTCGCGTAATTTAAAATTCTATTTGTTAGAATTGTATCACGAACGTTTATGTGATTTTCCATTTTCATAGAGAAATTCGAAGCTTGTTCTATCACCGAGTAAGATTGAAATTCCTGCACAATTTTCACAGATGTAAGCAGCTTGAACTCGCAGTAAATTCTAATAAACTTTGTTCTTCGTTCTTGGAACCTTTTATGAACTAAAAATGTTTAATGTTCTGCGGTCTAGAAATATCGTTGTAATTGGATTCGCCTCTGCATGGAGACTGTTCGTTAGTAATATGCATTTGAACGAAAAGCCCGGGAGTTTGAATATACTTTGTTCTCCTTGATTGTCAGCCGCTGTCCGATTAGAGATGCTACGCGTTGTGAAAATGAAAAACTGGCGGGATAACTGTCTGAACAAATAATCGAGCAGAAACTAGGACAGGCATCTCGAGATACTAGAACTACAATAAATATATCGCGGGACAGTTACGCAAGGCACGTGTATCACCGAATTTCAATTCCTTATTTTCAGGTGACAATTCAAACAAACTGCAATCAGATTGTTCCGTCCGAAACCTGCTTATTTATAATAGAAAACGTATCTATTTACAAACGGTTTAACAATATCGAAATTTGTTCTTTCTTTTCTTCTATTTCCAGTAGAATTACACTATTTTTCTAAAAATTGTACTTCAACAAATTGATTTTTTTATAGGTATAAAGGAAATATTCGACTGCGGATTTTTTTTCCCAAATGATAAGAAATTGTTACGTTGACAAAAGACAATGAGATTTAATAGATATCCTTAAAATTCTGCTTTTCACAAAATAATCTCTAAAAGTTGCAACACCTACGAAAATCTATAGCCTGCTTCTTGTAAACACAGCTAGATATCTTTACGTTAACACCCTGGTAATAATGAACACTGGTCAAAATCAACGGTTTTAAATATTGGCTAACTTTCTTGATTCAAGCATAAGATAGTAGGGCCTCTTACTGTCGGGTGGCCAATTGCCGTGTCTTTGCTTCGTCTTTTAT